GTGTGAAGGAGTTTGAATACTTACATTATATTAGGTGTTGGGAGGTTTAGGAATGCTCTAGATGCTTTTGGTGTGCTATCACAGCTCTTTTGACCCTTACCGATGAACCTTTTCTTCCAAGATCCGTCGGACCTAGAATATACATTTTTATTATTTTAAAATAGTTTACATTTGGTACAAATAAATACATATTCTAAAAAACCACCAGCCAATGTCGGCTAATGAGACACTAGACTTAAAAGATCGGTAATAACAGTGTTTATATAGATATGACATTCAACAATAAAACTACAATTCATCTACAAGTACAATAATGCATAGATTGATATGATAAATAGTAATAATTCCATCTATAAATAAAAGCTGTCCACTCCTATACTTGATACACGTACGATATGAACTGGAGAAACGCATACGCAAATTGCAATTACAATAAGTTAAATATATAAAAGATGTCACTTACATTAAAATTCATTTATTACATAAATATACATTAATTATACTGCAGTTAACCGTTCCAGGTCAAATTGCCTTTTCATAAACATGTTGTAAAGAGCAGCCCAATGTCTCTGAATTGATCTTGAATCCATTAGGCTTATAAATAAAGGTATACAAAACACAAATCGTACCCAAGATTGACAGGTATCTGATATTATGCCAAGGCAATCAACGTAACTTTGGACGATCTTCCCAATGGTATATCACACTTGGAACCATATATCTAAGACAACACATCAATTGTTATATTCAACAAATATTATAAGGTCACACATATCTAGGCAAGGTGTGTCTAATTCCACCCAATCAGAAGACGCTATTTCATAGAACTGCATTAATCAACAACCCACTAAAGGTCATTTTTTAGATTGTAGTGAAACTTATGAAACCAATAAGCCGACCAATTTGACCAATTTTATAGTTGAGTAAAAATCGATGAATTGTTTTATAGTAACGAGCCCTTGTAAAAAGTTTGTTTGAAAATATAAATATATTTTAAGTCATTTTGTACCTTTTAAGTGATTTTGAAATTGAACACCGAAACCCAATGCATTGTGCTTGAGTTCCAAGGTTTTATATGCATGTACAAGTCGAAAGGAGATAACAAAGGATTGGTAGCGATATGGTGAACTGAATTGAACATTGTTTTTCTCTTAATCCAGTTATTGAAAATGTAAAAAAACATGATGCTTTATGTAATGATCACTGTCGACAACAATTTCAGGTTTTATAAAAATGGAACTGAGTAGAAGAGAAAACATTTAGGACACGAGAAAGTGTTCACACTGAGGTCTTTGGATCGGAGAGGGGTTCGTATATACAGGTTTCACTGTTGCTCTCAATCCAGGTACTTATTTTACTTCAATACGTGCTTGGATGACATTTTTAGAGTTCCAAGAACATTTCTAGTCATGTGTTCTCATTTTCCGAACGCATGGATCCAGGCATCGGAAGAATGAAAAAACGCTGCGTTCGGATGGGAGATTGTGCTTTTAGTTTACAGCGCGTGAGTTATAGCCTTAGATAAGAGTGTTCGAAGAGAGCACAATTTATTAAATGTGTTTGTGAACAAATTGTAACTTGTCCTGATCATTCCGAAATAAATAAATGAAATGTTACTCAGGGACACTGTTCTTTACATCAAACCTGGGTAAACAATTTTTTAGTTAATTGCCAAAATTTGTGACGTAGGCCTTCCGGTATAGCTACTAGCAACGACATTAACTCAAACGTTCGCATTGTCCTCGTTTAGTTTCGGATCTGTGTTCTTCATTGCTATTTGTATAAATTGTTTGCAACAAGAAATAAATGGAAACGGAAGATACACACGGAGAGGATATGACAATTGCACAATAAATCTGAGACTTACATACCTAAAATTAGCTGTGCTAGTCTCAGCCTAAAACGTTCAAAAGAAAGCTGCGATTGGTTTTGTTTCGATGTAATTTTGATCTCAGTTTTAAGAGGCTAAAATGGTACTCGGGAGAAAAATTGTTCTTATTGGATTTTGCGCTGTAATCTTGATTGCATTTTCATCAGGTAATATATGGAATGTGGTGTTTTTTAATTTAATTTAATTTAGTCATATTTTGTTTTGTTTGCTTTTACCATAGTATAATTTACATTTGAATCATTGACTTATGTCGTGATCGCGACAATTGTACCAGGTTTCGAAAGGTCATAATTTGAGAATTTCTTCAAGTAAAAAAATCATAACTAGTTGCCTCATGTGTTTTATTATAATCAAAACGTATGTCCAATTTGTTTATTTAGTTGCCGATGCTAAGAATCGGAAGAGCTCGAGGCGTTCATGGAAACGACCGCGTTTCTCAAAGCTCCCTCCCTTACCCAAACGCGGATTAGACAGTGCTGTAGATGATGCTGAAAATCGGTCATTACTCAATGTAAGCTCATACACCATTAATGAGATATTTCTATATTGTGTATGACTGTCTCTATTAATCAGGAGGAAGAGGTTATTAACTAGGAGGGACTGAATATGCGTTTATCCAGCGGAATAAAACGCATATTGAATTCCGACCAGTAAATCAGCTTTTAATCCAATGATATTAAAATATATTCCAAAAAACGATTTTGAAAATTTAATGAAATTATTTTGTTCAACACATGCAAATGATGTTGAATACTTTGTGTAGAGCAAACTGGAAATGGCGGTACAAAAACCACCTTGCATTGTGAAGTGTAATATTATTTACTAAAGAATACGGTAGAATAATGATGACTAAAACTGAGCATGTAAGAAAACTGTAAAAATGCTGGTTCACATTTCCAGTATGATGTAACTTCCATGATACTTAAGCAAAGAACGGTTTTCACCATATGCCATACAAAATATCACTGAAATGTAATTTATTTATTTTAGAAAGACTTTGATAAAATGTATTTTAGCTTTTCCTGGTATTAATATAATCTGATATCATGAAACTGATATTAGCCGTCGAACATTTCAGTTTTCATACTCTGCAGCAAAGGTAATAAACATCTACACAAAAACACATTTGAATAAGTTGACAACATGTTTAGCCTCGTTTTGAATATCAAACATAAGGAAACAGTAGAAATATAACGAAACAAAAAAACTTAATTTACATATTTCTCCTGAATATTTCATAGTATTCATAAAGTGACTGATGGCTTAGGACATCCTTACTTAAATTTAATCTAATCTAAAGTACAAATGTAGTAAACATGTCTCCTTCGAACGGATAGGAGAGATGTTCGTATACAGGATGACCAAAAAAACAGAACCCTCAAAAATAGAATAATTTCTTTAATGCATATGTAATCAGCTTCATTTTTCATGTACATAGACTACTATACTACTATGGAGGACCATGTGAGACCAAATTTGTTACATAACATTCAATAATCTTGTTGTTTATTAGCCATTTTAAAAATGTGCCCACTTTTGAAAAAAGAAAATGAAAGATTTTCATGTCAACCAAAAGGTTACACATCGTTTGTTGAAACCCATCACATTCTTTTAGCTCCTTGTTAAAGTGTCTCACATATTCGATCAAAACTTGCCATGCAAACATGTTAGTCTATTTTACTGCCCCCCTTGCTGTAACAAGGAACACAAAACACATTTAAACGCAAACATAAACCAACTAGTCACTACACTATCACTGTGACTATGAAAGTGAGGGGTGTTAGCAAATGTGTATTAGCAGACGATAAATTGCCTTTTCATTCCATCATTTACTCTGTCAACTTAGTAACCCTTGCATATCATGCTCACTCAAGTATTGAATAATTTTTTTTATAATCTTAATGTTTGTGCATTTATAACAAATTTTGATATATTTTAGTTAGAAATACATTCATAAATATATTCATCCAAATGGCACTAGAATGAGGGAAGAAAGAGCAATGGTGACAAAATGCAGACAGAATTTTCCGTAAGGGTTTCAAACATTTCTGGACACAATCATGCATGTACTTCTTGTGAACTGTTATTTTAGTGCTGTATATAGATATAATTTCACGTATAAAAATCATATTTTCCAGCAATGACTTCAAATTCGGAACAACCCCCATATCACATTTTCTTCAATAACTCGAAACATGTGTAAACACTTCCCATGTGCATGTTAATTCAGATTTCACGAGCTCTTTCCCATTTTGTGAGTATACGGGGTAAGATCATTCATGAGGGAGTCTTCTAGCAACCTTAAAGTCATCTTTATGTGTAGTTGCACGTTCTGAACAATATTCAATCACAATCACACACAGTGCGTTTAGGTGTTCTCATACCCCCATTCCCAGAAACCTCCCGAGATAGATGTAAGCTGATTTTTCAATTGCCGTTTTTTTCATTTTTCAATTAAAATATCGAATGAGACTTTCTCAAAGCACATTGTAATATCAAACATGATATCACAAATTATCAATTTTGTGTAACACATTTGATATCTAAGGATAGGTATTTTAGAAATTATTACACGTTTAGAGGGTTCTGTTTTTGGGTCACCCTATATGAGGTTTCATTGTAGTTTTCAATCCAGGTGCTTATTTTACTATTTATTTTACTTGATGATGTCTTGAGTCCTGGGTTCGAACGATACACGTACTCTTAGTTTACAAGGCTTGGGTCAATTCTTAAATAAAAGTGTTTCGGGAAAACAGTTTATTCACTCTATTTGCGAACAAATTGCGACTTGTCCTGATCATTCCGAAATAAATAATGTTACTTTCAAGGGCATTGTTTCGTTTATGGAACTTGAGTAAACAATTTCTTCGTTAATTGCCAAAATTGTTGACGTGGGCTTTCCGATATAGCTACTAGCAACGACATTAACTCAAACGTTACCATTATCTCGTTTTTTCATGGCTGTTTGCATGGCTGTTTGAACAAGAAATGAATTGGAAACGGAACATACATACAGAGAGGAAATGCGAATTGTGTCCTAAACCGTTAAAAGAGACCTGCGATTGCTCCTGCTCCGATTTTATTTTGATCTCAATTTTAAGAGGCTAAAATGGTACTCGGGAGAAAAATTGTTCTCGTTGGATTTTGCGCTGTAATCTTGATTGCATTTTCATCAGGTAAAATATGGAATATGCTATTTTTTATTAGATTTGGTCATATTTTGTTTGGTTGTTTGTATAATTTACATTTGAATCATTGACTCATGTCATGATCGCCACGATTATATCAGAACTCGATAGGTCAACATTTGAGAAATTCTGCAAGTAACTAATGTCATAATTAGTTGCCTCATGTGTTTTATCATAATCAAGACGTATGTCTAATATGTTTATTTAGTTGCCGATGCAAAGCAATCAAATCGTGGGAGGCGTTCGTGGAAACGACCGCGTTTCTCAAAGAGACTTGGTTTTTTCCAACGTGGATTAGACAGTGCTGAAGATGATGCTGAAAATCGGTCATTATTCAATGTAAGCTCATATACACCATTAATTAGGTGTTTCTATATTGTATACGGAAGTTTTTATTAATCAAGACATAGAGGTTATTTACTGGGAAAGATTTAATATGTGTTTATCCAGCTAAATAAAACGCATATTCAATAACGCAGTTGCGAGTAGGTAACTGAAATATGTCCAATTTAATTTTCAAAGTTGATAAACAATTTTCGAAACTATATTTCTAAATATACTTTTACATGTAGATTTCAAATATGACATCACTTTGACTGAATTTTGAATATTTAATGACGTAAATCAAGATTATGTCTACTCGCATCAAGTCTATTCCGACCAGTAAATCAACTTTTTATCCAAAGATATTAAAACATATTCCTATAAAAAATGTAAATTACTTCAAATTAGTTTGTTTCACATATGCAAATGATTGTAAGTTCTCTGTGTCGAACAAAATGGAAATGGCGGTACAAAAAATGTTGAACTTATTTGCTCAAAAAAGGACCTTCTTTATCTGATTTTTATTGCATGAAAACAGTATTCAACAAGGGGTCTAAAACATCTTCAAAAGTAGAATGGTATTGAAAGTCTAGTATTGAAGATATCAATCTTCAATGACCAAAATCATGCTGAAAACAATGGATAGCATGAGTTTGAGTAATGAAAATAACATGAGTTTTTAACCCTAATGCATCTCAATACCTATCCTCCTTTCAGAAGTTATTACTATAATGCAGAAGAAACATTTAAATTGAGAAAAACAAGATCCTCTTTTTAAAAAATTAGCCTTACATTTTAAAAAAAGTGACAAGGTTTGGTACTAATCCATAATTTTTCAGAGAGTTTGATAGATATTTTACTATCATGGAGACTTCACTTTAAAGAAAACATTATTGTTTTGATAAAAATCACTGTATTTATACCCAGAAAATACTCATGGTGAAAGATATGACTGTCTAAAATCACTTGCCATACTGCACATGGACCTTTGAGCAAACTGATGTTTTCATCATTTCAGAAAGACCTGCTCTAGTTTCAAGATATTTTCAAATGTAAATGTCTGCAACAACATCCTATAGGACAGTGAAGTGATACTGAATTGCATAAAAACCTACAAAAACTCAGATGTAGTATATGACATAACGCACAGTAACGGTTAGGTTCAACTGTCTCGCTTAATTTAGTGTGTAATTTTTGATAATGCTGAAATGCGATCGAACAGCTGAGACAAATGTCAAGATAATTCAAAGGGTAACTTCCACTGAACTCTGAAGTTTGTATCCTTGGGGAAAACAAGACAAGATCTCAGTTATTGTTGCATAAGTGATACGCTTGATTTTTTGTTCTCATCTGCGATTTAGGAAATTGCTGAATATCTCTCAACGGTGTATGGAAACGATAACCTACAGCTAAATGCAGAGAATGATGACGTTGCACCACAATCACGTGATTACGGTGACTATGTGACGGGTAAAGGATTTTCGGGGGTGAGTACATGTGATTTACTTCTAAATTGAGGGATTATTGTCAACGTTCATTCACTGGATATACATATACATGCATTCATGTATTGAAAATGCCAATTTAATATAAAAATATTTTTTAAGTTGCTGGACAAAAGGAGTGATGACGTTGCACCGCAATCACGTGCATACGATGACTATGAAACGGGTAAAGGATTTTCGGAGGTGGGTACATGTGATTTACTTCTAAATTGAGGGATTATTGTCAACGTTCATTCACTGGATATACATATACATGCATTCATGTATTGAAAATGCCAATTTAATATAAAAATATTTTTTAAGTTGCTGGACAAAAGGAGTGATGACGTTGCACCGCAATCACGTGCGTACGATGACTATGAAACGGGTAAAGGATTTTCGGAGGTGGGTACATGTGATTTACTTCTAAATTGAGGGATTATTGTCAAAGCTTATTCATTGGATAAACATTATTGATCTCTATTAGAACCGATATACTATATCCATGACCGGAGATAGCTTTGTTTAATGGTGTATGTCTTTCCATGGATGTCTAAAGATAAAATACCCTTTCAAATTTTGGAGGAATTAATTTTGCACATATTAAAATGCAATTTCAATATGAAATTCGCACATAGCTCGGCAAGGTGTGTCCGATTCCAGCGAATTCGAACACAGATTTTCATTGCAGTCCATTATATAACCAATCACTGCACCCAAGGTCATTCTTTATGTGGTTGTAAAGGTGACTCTACAGATTGAAACTGATACTGTGTCAACTTGACCCTTGCTAAAAGTTTCATTAAAAATAGGTTCTTCTAGCATTTCGTTTATCTTTTAAGTGACATGGTAGAAATATTTTGCAATGTGTGAAAATAATTTAAGCCCAAGAATAACCATTCTTTTCAATCGTTGTTACCTTAAAGGACCTCCTGCAGATTCTATTACCTCCTCCCCGTAAAAATATCAGTTCATCTAATATTTCAAAATGAATGTGCTGGTTAGATTATTATATTAATGTGTACACTGGTGCCTCGTTGACTAATATTCAACAAGAACTGTATTGATGAATGGGCCATTTATTAGGTCAATATTCAATCATGAGGTATACAGGCGTAGATGATGCTTAATCAGGTGTATGTTTTGTGTCTGTCAAAATCCATTTGCATCCTACGCATCCCTCCATCTTATTCAAATATGTTACTATTTAATGAAAGATAATAGGTGTCTACAAAACAAAGACCTAAGACCTACAAAACTAAGACCCCCCATGTAATAAAACTAAGACCCTGTTATAAAACTAAGACCCCCCACGTTATAAAACTAAGACCCCCGCGTTATAAAACTAAGACCCTGTTATAAAACTAAGACCCCCCACGTTATAAAACTAAGACCCTGTTATAAAACTAAGACCCCCCACGTAATAAAACTAAGACCCTGTTATAAAACTAAGACCCCCCACATTATAAAACTAAGACCCCCACGTTATAAAACTAAGACCCTGTTATAAAACTAAGACCCCCCACGTTATAAAACTAAGACCCTGTTATAAAACTAAGACCCCCCACGTTATAAAACTAAGACCCTGTTATAAAACTAAGACCCCCCACGTTATAAAACTAAGACCCTGTTATAAAACTAAGACCCCCCACGTTATAAAACTAAGACCCTGTTATAAAACTAAGACCCCCCACGTTATAAAACTAAGACCCTGTTATAAAACTAAGACCCCCCACGTTATAAAACTAAGACCCTGTTATAAAACTAAGACCCCCCACGTTATAAAACTAAGACCCTGTTATAAAACTAAGACCCCCCCACGTTATAAAACTAAGACCCTGTTATAAAACTAAGACCCCCCCCACGTTATAAAACTAAGACCCTGTTATAAAACTAAGACCCCCCACGTTATAAAACTAAGACCCTGTTATAAAACTAAGACCCCCCACGTTATAAAACTAAGACCCTGTTATAAAACTAAGACCCCCCACGTTATAAAACTAAGACCCTGTTATAAAACTAAGACCTCCCACGTTATAAAACTAAGACCCTGCTATAAGAATCAGTCACCTTGCCTTGCTCTGCTCGCCACAAGGTAGTCTTGCCTCCTGGCCTCTGGGCCTTGTGTTCCCCAGTAACATACAACAGCGGATTATATAAAAATGGACTGTAACAAATACCCGGATTTGTTGATTTTTAAAAAAGTAATTTTTTGATATCACTTTTTATGCCCGGCATAAAAAGTGATGTCCCATTTTATGCTGGCATAAAAAGTGATATCCCATTTCATGCTGGCATAAAAAGTGATGTCCCATTTTATGCTGAGTATAAAAAGAGATACTCCATTTTATGCTGGTATTGTTTTGGAAGTGATGTTTAATGGTAGTTCAAGATTTAAGACCCATCATTCTGGCACAGATTGCTGAACCATTGTTAGTTAAGAATTCCTAATAGAATTAAGAATTATTAGCTGAAACTGAGTTGTTTTGCCCTAGCAAACAATTTTCCAACTTGTAGTTCAACTTCTTCTGTCTATTTGTTGACAGTCTGTGATGTCATCATCAATCATCACAATAGAAATGAGGTAATTCACGATGACATCACAAAGTACTCTGATGACATCATCAATCATCACAATGGAAACGAGATAATTCATGATGACATCACAAAGCATCTCTGTCATAGATAGAACTCTGCCACATTTCTTAGAAATCAAACTACTATGTGACATCATAGATAATCTCACTGTCACAGATAGAATTTACCTAATTCCCATTGTGATGATTGATGATGACATCACAGACTGTCAACACATATAGACAAAAATGAATTTCAAATGCATATCGGGATATTGTTTGCTAGGACAAACAGAACAGTTTCAGCTATTAATTCTTAATTCTATTAGGAATTCTTAACTAAAATAAGTTCAGCAATCTATGTGAGAAAGATGGGTCTGAAATCTTGAACCACCATGTTACTAGGGAAAACAAGGGTCAGTGGCAAGACTACCATATGTGTATGTTACTAGGGTAAACAAGGGCCAGAGGCAAGACTACCATGTGTAGAATCTTTATGTTAGTGGGGAGAATCTGTATATTAGAAGGGAACACAAGGACCAGAAGCAAGACTACCTTTTGTAGAATCTTTATGTTAGTGGGGAGAATCTGTATATTAGAAGGGAACACAAGGACCAGAAGCAAGACTACCTTTTGTAGAATCTTTATGTTAGTGGGGAGAATCTGTATATTAGAAGGGAACACAAGGACCAGAAGCAAGACTATCTTTTGTAGAATCTGTATGTTACTAGGGAACACAAGGCCCAGAGGCAAGACTACCTTGTGGCGAGCAGAGCAAGGCACGGTGACTGATTCTTATAACAGGGTCTTAGTTTTATAACGTGGGGGGTCTTAGTTTTATAACGTGGGGGGTCTTAGTTTTATAACAGGGTCTTAGTTTTATAATGTGGGGGTCTTAGTTTTATAACAGGGTCTTAGTTTTATTACGTGGGGGTTCTTAGTTTTATAACAGGGTCTTAGTTTTATAACGTGGGGGGTCTTAGTTTTATAACGTGGGGGGTCTTAGTTTTATAACGTGGGGGGTCTTAGTTTTATAACAGGGTCTTAGTTTTATAACGAGGGGGGTCTTAGTTTTATAACAGGGTCTTAGTTTTATAACGTGGGGGGTCTTAGTTTTATAACAGGGTCTTAGTTTTATAACGTGGGGGGTCTTAGTTTTATAACAGGGTCTTAGTTTTATAACGTGGGGGGTCTTAGTTTTATAACAGGGTCTTAGTTTTATAACGTGGGGGTCTTAGTTTTATAACAGGGTCTTAGTTTTATAACGTGGGGGGTCTTAGTTTTATAACAGGGTCTTAGTTTTATAACGTGGGGGGTCTTAGTTTTATAACAGGGTCTTAGTTTTTTAACGTGGGGGGTCTTAGTTTTATAACAGGGTCTTAGTTTTATAACGTGGGGGGTCTTAGTTTTATAACAGGGTCTTAGTTTTATTACGTGGGGGGTCTTAGTTTTATAACAGGGTCTTAGTTTTATAACGTGGGGGGTCTTATTTTTATAACAGGGTCTTAGTTTTATAACGTGGGGGGTCTTAGTTTTATAACAGGGTCTTAGTTTTATTACATGGGGGGTCTTAGTTTTATAACAGGGTCTTAGTTTTATAACGTGGGGGTCTTAGTTTTGTAGGTCTTAAGTCTTAGGTCTTTGTTTTGTAGACACCCTTTGTAAGATTTACAAAGTTGTATGACGTTTAATAAGTACAAAGTGTGAAAGTTGTTTTTGGAGCGTTTTCTATAGCCGTTTTAATATAAAGTATGCAAACGTCATATTTGCACATTTGATGAGATAAACCATTTGTGTCATATTGTGAAATCATTTAGTTTTAGTTAGTTTTAATCATTTAATGGAAACCAAAGGCCCTTATGATGACAGAGTAATCTTTATTTTACACGTAATATATTTCATTTTGACCATGGGGGTATTTGCACCTTAATGCAACTCTCCCTTTACATTTCATGCTCGAGCAAATTTTAGAAGGCAGCACTTTCAAGAAGTGGTCATTCAACATTACACTGAGTCATGGGCTTTAATCTTTAAATATATTTTAAGATGCTGAATACAAAGAAAAGGAGTGATAACGTTGCAGTGTCATTATTTGACTACTATGACTATGAGACTGGTAAATCAAAAGTAAGTACATGTTACTCTTTTAATTTCTATGCTCTACACCGAGGGATTATAATATTGTAATAGTTCATACTAGAACCTGTTATTTATGACCAAAAACATCTATGATCAAACATTCATGTCCTTGGATGTCAACATAGAAGAGACCCTTTTTAAAACTTGGAGCTATACATTTTGAAACAACCTATTTAATACAAAATATTTTTAAGATGTTAAATACAAAGAAAAGGAGTGATGACGTACGACATCACGTGAATACTACCGACATCGTATTCTTGAACTTTTTTTTAAGTTTAAAGATGCATGTATTTCCATGGATGCCTAGAGATAAAAGACCGTTTACAAATCTCGAAGCTATTACTTTTGCACAATGACAATGCCAATTCAATAAAAAAAATGTTTTTAAGATGCTAAATACAAAGAAAAGGAGTGAGGACGTTGCACCGGAATCACGTGACTATGACGACTATTACACGGGCAAACTACCACCACCTCAGGATAATAGCGAAGAGCTACTAAATGTATGTTAAAACCATTTTATTTCTTTGCTCCTATAGCAGTAATGGATCCAGAAGCTAACAATGAGGTTGCAACTTTTGAGTCAATAAAAATTGTCCGCGCTTGTGTGGGAAATTTTTTTGGGCCCTAAAAACATTTCTGGGCCAACAAAAGGGGGAAAGGAAGGTCATGGAACAATCTACTTTCTTTGACATTTAGGCGGATTAAAGGCTGAATTGCCCTTACATAAAGTGATATGAATACTAGTACTGTTTTTGATATTTCGTCAGGTTGAAAAGGGTACTCTACAAACAAAGTTCAAGGAACTCCTTGAAAATCTCGCAAACGGTAATCTAGAGCTGTCTGCAAGGAAAAGAAGCGATGATCTAGTTGCACCGGAATCACGTGACTATGACGACTATTACACGGGCAAAAGACCAGCCGGTCAGGATGATAGCAACGAGCTACTAAATGTATGAAACAATCATTTTATTTATTTCCTCCTATAGTGAAGATATATCATAGATCATACATTGAATAATCTATTTTATCAAATAACACCCATGGTCAAAGTTATTCGCATATCAAGGCCTATTTTCAAAACGAGGCTTTTTAGCCTTTTTGCCTCATAAAATAATTCAAAGAAAGCCGAAGCAAACCTCATGTGGTATTTTTATTTTATTTATTTATCATAAAAATATATACAAAACATGCAACATGTCACAATCTAAGACACCACAGTGGCATATACAAGACGTATCATGTGCTAAAAAAACTTTTCTAAATAGAAAAAATGTAAGACTAGAGTCTATATGGTCTATATGCTATAAAGCTACTGTATACATGATAAAGTATAATTGATACTAACAGACTAAACTTTCTAATGATTATATACATAGTGACAATTGTTGATGTGTCCCAAAAATGTTAGTAAAATGAAATCACTTATAAAATAGAACAAAGTATATTGGACTTGGAGTTAAATATAATGTTTTAAAAGTATTTTTGAATTTTTGTGAGGTAGTTTGTGCTTTAAAGATGGAAATACAGTTAAAATAAATATGCAAGGCCTAATCAGAACCGCAAAATCAAGCCACTGTGGAAGTCTATACACGGTCGCATTTGGGGAACAAAAATTGAGATTTTAAGATCATCGAATACATTATCGAATGCTTATTTTACTTTTCTAATAGATCAGGCAAAAGTCATATTATTGTCCATTCAATCTACGGTTCAATTACGAGTTTTGATTATCTTTTAACCCATGATCTTAATTTTTTCAACACCAAATGGGTTAGGATGTGTGTTCTAAATTAGTTTAAATTATTACTTAACAATGTACATAAACGTGACAACTAAAGATTAATTTGAAATAAATTACAGTTGACAAAAATTCAATTTTTAAAAATTAAATTGAATATTTCACATAGCACCTTTTGAAAACATTTGGAAGGACTATAATATAAGCCAAAGTGGTTGAAACTTTATATGGGTCCTTTAAAATATTTATGATATGTGATATCAAGGGGAAATAGCATAACACGACAGAAAAGTTGTATCCTTTTGATTATAGGATGTTGATATGGTTTCGACTGCATGATGGGCAAGAACGAACCAAACTGAGAAGATGGAACTGCTGATGGTGGCACTATATAATGAACTATATTAAAAGATCCAACTCAGTTCCAACATAAGGACAGGACAAGTTAATTAAAAACTGTTAAACCAAATAAAATTCGATTATTTCAGAAACCAAGTGTGTTGATATGGAAATAAAACACTATATTTGGAATAATCAACTTTACCTTATGTGTGAATGGGGTATTAGTTTGTGAAAATGTGCGGTATTTTGAGATTGTCCTATATGATGTTCAGGATATTGGGATTATCCCGAGGCCAATATAATATATCTACCCGAGGGCCGTAGGTCCCGAGGGTAGATATATTATATTGGCCTAGGGATAATCCCAATATCTTGAACCGACTATAGGATGATCTGTTTATCCCATACCGATCTTGGTCATCTGGTTCACATTGTTCAATTGGCCATAGCTCAGAAAATTCCCATTCAACCATGGAAATATTTTAGAATATTCATGTCCAGTTTTGTTTTCTGGGCCGTGGCCGAGTTCTTTCAGATATTCACCCAGATTTATTTTCTCGAATCTTTGATTATTATCTGGATGCTTATTCCCTTCTATAAACTATCAAACAGATCGCGATTGTCTGCGTTTTTTCCACTGTCGTTTACAGTTATTATGCGAATGTTACAAATTAGGCGAGCAGCGATTATGACGTAGCGGGCAGATATACTATATCTGCCCGCTCGGAGCGGGACGTAAAGCTATATCTGCCCGCTGATGAAAATATAAGTTTTTACAAACCTGCTTTATGTACCTATAACACGTCCAAGTATGGGATAAAAATAAATACTAAAATAGTCACGCCAATGTATGATAGATTGAATGTATCATTTTAGGATACCAGTATATATATCGTTTTCACACGTCCGGAGCAATTATTAGATATCTTTGATGACTCTTACTCGTTTCTTTAAAATTTGGCAACATTATAAGTTTTTTGTTTTGTAAATTTATTAAGTACAGAAATATCAGTATAGCTTTTAGTTCTTAGACTCATTTGAAATCATTTAACGCACTTTCCGTATAAAATTAGTCTATGAGAAATGTTTATGTTTCGGGCTGAAGTGACACACTCTCATCTAACCAGAAATGACAACTCGGCAATCAAATTCTGTGAATGAGCCTTTTCCATATGGTAAGTTAATCCATCAACAACATTGCATCGATATATCATTATTCGTAAATTCATACATCTATTAGCTTGAAAAAAAATAACGTGGCATTTCAGTGACATTTCAGTTTTACAACAGTCGACTGTGTAGTATATCTATTTAGTTTATTAAATGGATATGGTTGTCGAGAGGAGTGCACATTGAAATTACCATTTGGATATTAGATGAAACGATCTCGCTTATTATCCCAACGAACGAAGTTCGGTAGGGATATAGTGAAGCCCTCCGTCCGTCAATCAGCCCGTCCGTCCGTCCGGAAGATAACTCAAATATTAGTTGACCAATTTTCTTCATATTTGGTGGAAAGATGTATATTGATGAATAATTTTACGCAAAAAAAAGATTTTACAAGATGGCCGCCACTTTGAAAATGACGGGACCTTTTCGCAAAAATCATAAATTTTTCATTCTAAACCAAAGTGATTAATATTATTGATTGAAATTTTGGTAGTATATTCACAACATTTATTTATTTCACATATATTCTGTGTTTTTCATCCTGACCCCCAGGGGCCGTGTATCAGGAAAACAGAAATTTTCGCTAATTTTTAGATCTTTCTGAAGTATAGCTTTATTATACTCAAATGAAAGGCAATTAAAGGTAGATTGCAAATATTGTATCTTTTTTCTGATTCGAGCCTCGTAAAGTTCGAAATGGCCGTCTAATGTACGATTTCGATCCCTTCAAGGTATGGCTATATTATACTCAAATTGAAGGAATTTTGGAGTAGATCACAATTATGGTATTATTTTTCAGATTTGTACCTCAGAAAATTCAAAATGGCTGCTTTGCAGGAATTCGCAATTCTAAAATCTAAATTTTTCAATTTTAACCAAAGTAATGAGTATAATTGTTTGGAATTCGGTAATTGATATTTTGTTCGTTGGGATTTGCTACTCCGCGGAGTTGCTGTTATCCAGTTACTTTTAGATATGATGTACGATCAACAGCTCGCGTAACGCATCACTGGATCGGAGGGAAACCGATGTGATGTATTGTATTATGTATCTAACAGAATTTTAACAAAATATAAGACTGATGATATAGAATTAAAACGATAGAAACAGAAAATTTTATTTACAACTACTATTTTAAAGCAATGCATCATTTTATTGCACCTGTCTAGTGCCTCGTTTACATTTGATCTACGGCAACCGTACGACGGCCGTAGCTTTCCAAAGTCAAGAGAGATACGCAGCATAAAGTATAATAATAAGCAGTTCGATGTAAACTTTCTCAATCGATTTTGTAAAGCTACACATGTACGGCTGCTGGAGAATAATGTGACTGAGGCTTTGGTTGGGTAAATTTAGACATGGAAATGTTGCATATTGAAACACATTTGCATTGTCAATCAAACGAAATATCTTGATATGAAGTCGAACATCCTTGACCGCCATCGAATACTACCTCAGTCTAACCATGTAAAGTTAAATGTTGGTACGACGTTACTGTCAGCATAATCTGAGGAGGTCGATTTTTAAACCACATTTTTCAGAAAGAAAATGTTGGGAAAATCAAAAAAAGTTTGTGGTTTGCCCAACATTTCAGAAAAACAATGTGGCTAGCCGTCTATTTGTTACACTCAAATGATGCACTGGTGTATTGGCCTACTATTGGGAACTTAATGGGCGCATCGGCAGGTAAGAACACAAGTCAATACGTTCACAACTTCACAAACAAACAACATGGCACCTACCCGGAAGGCGGGGGTATATTAGTGTCCCCACGAAAGTAGTTCAAAATCCCCACGCGAGACCATCCCCTGTGCATAAAGGTCCATTTTTCCTTATTGATACTCAGAAACTATCAAAGTAGAGCTGACCAAGAATTTGAAAAGGGCCTTAATTAAGCTTAAATGTCTTGTTCAATAACCCCTACTCTAAGTATGAGAGTCGAAAGTAGAGCTAACCAAAAATTTGAAAAAAGCCTTAATTAAGCTTAAATGTCTTGTTCAATAACCCCTACTCTAAGTATGAGAGTCTAAAGTAGAGCTAACCAAAAAATTGAAAAAGGCCTTAATTAAGCTTAAATGTCTTGTTCAATAACCCCTACTCTAAGTATGAGAGTCTAAAGTAGAGCTAACCAAAAAATTGAAAAAGGCCTTAATTAAGCTTAAATGTCTTGTTCAATAACCCCTACTCTAAGTATGAGAGTCTAAAGTAGAGCTAACCAAAAATTTGAAAAAAGCCTTAATTAAGCTTAAATGTCTTGTTCAATAACCCCTACTCTAACTATTGAAGATGGATTTTAGTAATATTATCCCACGTGGATCTACTTGTTGAGACTCGATGAACCTGACTTCTGAGACAATGAGGAGGGGTTCTTCAACAGGACACGGGGCTTTTTGTTGGCTCTACAGAGATAATGGTCTTTGCACATGATAAGGGTCACACTGTTAAGGCTAAATGTAAGATGGACCAGGGATTATAGTCCCCTTCTGTGTGGTCCTCACTACACTGGATGAGGAAGAGTAATTTTTTATTTATTTATACAAAGAATACATTAAAACAAGTGTTATTAGCGAACGACTAAAGTCACCGACTGTATTAATTGGCCTATTTTGAAGAGAAATCAGCATGTATGTATAGACTGACATTACATTTACAAATCGTTACCTGTATAATACCATTGAACAACTTGTTCAAAGAAATATGGAAAACTGTTGTACTTACCGGTTAACAGAATGATAATTAATGTTATGGTCAGAATTGCACCGTTTAGCCTTTTCCATTGGTTCGGGCTTGGACCATTTGTCCCTGAATTTCCTCAGCAATTTCACTGAATTCATTGTTGTTACTCTTCCGTGTATCGAATCAAAGAATACGCCCAAATGGATTTCGTATTCACTGATTTGTTATTCGGGTCTTCAATAATGCCTGTATCAAATCTGTATAGAAATTAGATTACGTAATAAGTATTCCTGATATGATACTGTCTGGATTGTTTACAGGTTTATACATTGCATTTGTTTATTTCTTATTTTTGTTGCCCTATTGTTATCGTCAAAACCAGTATTTAAACGACGTGTAGATTTATTTTCTCCCTTGGTGCTTTAAGCTTGTTCTTCTGGCTTTCTCTCCACGTTGAGATATTGTCATGACTTTTATACATCATCCGGTACATTCACTTTAAAACAGTGTCTTCCTGTTGTTTATATTCCCTTCCTCGATTGTTCATACATGATTTGCATTCATAACAATTTGTAATCAATAACAAGCTTATTTCATAATAAACACACTACCTTCCATGCCAATCTATTTCATCTTTACTTAAATTCATAAATATGACACGTTTCGTGCGGTGTAACTGTGGAGTTACTGGAATGTGTGTTTGGAAATTCATTACAGTTGTACGTCATATTCTTCAGTATGTTATTCTGATCCACTGTATATTGATACAATGCGAATTAAGGATCAGATCAATATATCAATTTCTCTCTTTGAAAGTGCTTGAAGTTAAAATGCTGAAAATTTCGTTCCATGAGGAAAGGATCAACTTGTGACGGCATTTCTTTTTTACGGCTTACAAAAGTAGAGCATATGCCAATCGATCTAGTTTTTAAAAGGTTCTAACATCGAACAGTCTATTTGTTTAGTAACAAAGGAAGAACCAGGAACAACGCCATTCACGTAAACAGGAACAAAGAGATAAAGATTTAACAGCAGGGATATCGTATTCATTAATTAAAAACCTCCAGGGGCCCAATGTCGTCAAAGCGTAACCAGTTTTGCAGTTATACAGGCGTTATTAATTAAGATATGACTTGTTGCGTTATTTATGCATCAAATTCTTCTCGCCCCCGCACATCTTACTTCCGCAAGGTAAGAAGATTAAAGATCGTGAATTTAAGAGATTTGAAATAAATGAAAAGTTAAAATGTAAAAATCAAAGCATTATAGAACATTTACAGTTTCACTTAGAAAGAAATATCGTTACATATAATTTTTCCTGAAACGTATGTAGTAGCTTCTGATATAA